AGTGACAGAAGATAATACGTTTAAATGTGTTTGTATTTGTTCATTTTTACTATTAGTGTGTTTGCCTAGGCTTAATCCTGGGGCTTTATGCTTGCTAAGCTAATGTTCTATCCCTAGCCCCTACTTTTTTGTTTGTTTCTTTGAGGCAGAGTCCTGCGTTGTTCCTCAGTCTGGCTTTGCACTCCGGGCCTCAACTCCCCAAGTAGCTAGACCTCCAGACACACAGCACTGTGCCTTTTACTTACTGGACTTAGAAGGATTTCTATCCGCGCTGCAGCATGTTTCAAGAGTACGTTCCTCTTCTTTGCCCAGCAGTATTTTACTGCATGAACATACAAACAGTTATTTCTCCACTCACCGGTTCCTGGACTTCAGAAAGAGTTGCTTTTTTATCCTTACAAGTAAAGCTGCTATGAATAGTTCCATGTAAGTCTTTGTATTAAAACATGTTTGTATATCAGTTTGTTTGTTTGTTTGTGTAGCCCTGGCTGTCCTGGAACTTGCTCTATAGACCAGGCTGGCCTCAAACTCAGAGATCCACCTGCCTCTTCCTCCCAAGTGCTGGATTAAAGGTGCGCGCCACCGCTGCTGCCTGGCTTCTTGTCTGGGGCTGTAATAAAATACCCAGAACTAGGTACTTACAAAGAAAATAAATGTATTCTGCTGACAGAGTGGAGTTCCAAGATCAGGCAAGCACCTCTGTTTAGCCTCTGATGCACAGTTATACCACTAGTGCATAACTGATCTTCCCATAACAATTCACTCTTTCGGGAACTCATGCAATCCACAGACAAGCCTTAATGCGTTCTGAGGGTTGTGATGAAAGTTTTAGTTTCTTTGTAAACTCAGTTATGTTATATTAATATGCTTTTGTTTTAATCCCAAGTGTGGGATTTTAGTTGGGCTATAGTTTGCCCACACCTGTTGAGGGACCACCTGGGAATGAGAAAAAACAACTTTGATTCTTTGAATTGAAGCCAGGTGCAGAGAGCTCTTGAAGGGCGGGGTGAACTGTTCTGAGAAACAACCAGCTGTAAACTATCTACAACCAGCTGTAAACTATAGAGCAAAGTGATCTGATTTTCAGGTATAAAAACCCTGTGCTTTGCATGTTCGGGGTTGTCTCCTGTCTTTGGAGGGGCGACCCTATCGTGATAGCAATAAAACCTCTTGCTTTCGCATCGAGCTGTGGTCTGTGAGAGTTCCTGGGAAGGGCGCGATCCTGAGCAGGGAGACTCCAGGTCTTATACTGTTAATTGTCTCATGTGGGGCATGGCTTTTGCCAGATGGTAACAGCCTGCCTCCTTTGGCATGGCCAGGGCTTGGAGGATATGACGTGAGCAGATAAAGAGGTGATGTAGCATGTGGTTGTTGGCGTGTGGCATGTGGCAATTTGGAGAGACCCAAACGACAGACGTCGTGGCAGTTTGAAGCAGACAGACAAAGAGAAACAGAGAAATGCTTCGGGGCGCAGCAGCTGAGGAGACTGCTGGCTGCGTCTGCTGTTGATGGAAATTGGTATAGAACCCTAAAAGAACCCCTCTACCCTAAACAGCTGGGAGAAGTAAAGACCCTCTTTCCCCACTAACTTTCTCTCTCCTGCACAAGGTTGGGAAGTTGGAAGAGAGATTGAGGCCCAAACACCCCCAAATAAAGGAGCGTTTTAAAAATGAGGGCTGCAGAGGGTGGTATCCACAATCACATGTCAACTCGATGAAATACCTTCCCACCGAGTCCCACTTTGCAAAGATGTCACCGCCTCCACACCAACACTGAAGACCAAGTTTGTAGCCAAAAAGCCTTTGGCTACACAATTATCTAATGTGTGTATTTCTATTTGACAAACATATGCAGACAGGCGATGATAAACACGTATACCACCATACTCGAGCCAGAACATTGGCCGGTTATGCAGAGACACCGAAGCATTTCTGGCCTCTCCAGGATACTATGAACCCTCAGGGTCCGAAGGAGATACCTAAAAGATGGCCTAAGATAAGCTTTGTCAAGTCTTCATTCAGAAATTCCCCTCTTTCGCTGGATGCAGTGGCGAACACCTGCAAACCCAGAACTCAGGAGGCAGAAGCAGGTGGATATCTGTGAGTTTGAGGCCAGCCTGGTCCAAGACAGCCAAGGCTGCACAGAGAAACCCTGTCTTGAAAAATCCAAAACAAACAAACAACTGCCCCGCTCTCATCTACTTTGTTAGATGGCATTTGGGACAAACAACAATAGCAACAGCGGAAGTTTTGTTTTGTTTAGAAACAGGGGCTCACTATGTTTCCCAAGCTCACTTTAATCCTGTGATGCTTCTGCCTCAACCTGAGTGCTAGATTTACAGATATGCACCACTATGTTCAACTTATATCGACAAGTTTTAAAACAACTGCCCAGGATCTGGGGGGTATAGCTCACTTGATATAGTGCTTTATTAGCATCCATAAAGCCCTGGGTTCAAGCTACACCATCCTGTAAAGCCAGCATGGTTGCACATGCCTGTAATCTTAGCACTTAGGAAGTTGAGGCAGGAGGATCAAAAAGTTCAAGATCATCATCCTTGGCTATATAGCACATTAAAAGGCAACATGAATACAAAAGCAAGCAGAGGTTAGAGAAATGGCTCGGTTGTTAAGAACACTGATCGTCCTTGCAGAGGACCTGGGTTCTCTGGGTTCTGTTCCTAGCACCTACCATCACAGCCATCTGCAACTCCAGTCTCAGGAGATGAGACACACTTTCTGGCCTGCCTTCAAAGGCATCAGGCATGCATGTGGTGCACACAAAACATACAGGCAAAACACCCATACATATAAAATAAAAATAAACAAATCTTAAAAGAAAGAAAGCAAGCTAAGAAACAAAGCCCATCTGCTCTAGACTATTGACTAGAATCCAGTCTTGCCTCTTTCCTTCTAAAGATGGGGGAGGGTTTCTTCCTCCTCTCAAAGGCTTCTGCTCAGAGCTGATTGGCTGCCTCTCTGTCTAAGTGACCCTGAGCATGCCTCTTCTCTGCACTGTCGTTTTTTCTAACACAGGTGGGAAGGTTTGGCAGGCTGTTGGCTTTTCAGTTTCAGATTGACTCTAGAGCAGTTCTTCTCAACCTTCCCGATACCAAGACCATTTGGTACAGTTCCTCATGTTGTGGTGACCCCCCCCCCCAAGCTATTTTCATTGTTACTTTATAACTGTAACTTTGCTACTGCTATGAACCCTGATGTAAATGTATAGATGTTTTTGAGTGGTCTTATGGGACCTCTGTGAAAGGGTTGTTAGACCCCAAGGGAACCACCGTTGAAAACCACTGTTCTAGAAGGGATTCAGAAAAGCCAGCCAGCCATTTACACACACACAGAAGCAACACAGACATACTTTCTTCCCTGTCTGTGTAACAGAACCGATGCTGAGTTAAGAGCTGTATAAACAGGAAACTAGGGTAAATAACAAGCCACAAGAGAACGCTATGCAGCAACAAAAACATCTAATTCATAACCATATGCAACAATTTTGACAAACCTCATAGGTGACAAGTCTCATTGAATGAAAGAAGCCATCTATAAAGAGGAAATAGCATCTGAAATAGCGTCTAGTTAGGAGAATTTAAATTCCAGGATATGTAGACAAGAACAATAATTCCACTTGGGATGTATGGCTGGATCCCGCTTTTAAACAGTCAAACAAATGCCCGCCCTCCACTGGAAGCAAACCCAGGACCACATTTCATACCTTTGCATCTGCAGTACCATTGAACTGCGCCCTCCGCGCATTTCTGGACTTCGTGAGCTAAGAGAGGCCACCCTAGATTCAAAAAACTAGAAACTTCTCTCAAAGAGGTTGCATCTACATTACACCGGTAGGAGGAACGCCTTGAGGAGGTAGGTTGATGGGTAGCGGTGTGGTCACCTTCACGAAATGTGACCTGCCTCCCGTGTGTTAGCTTGCCGTGCCCATCAGTGGCTGCCGCACGTCTCCGCAACAGCACTGCTCCCATCTCTCGATGCTACGATGCCACGGCTCTATCTCCCGGTGTCAGTTAAGCCACCTCTAGAGTCACGTGGGAGACCAGCGTTGGCTCACCTGTGTGGGGTTTCCCCGACTGTCCTGCGATGGGAGCACCTGCCCGGCACCATCCCCCGGGCAGGAATCCCAGGTTGTATGAACAGGGAAAGGGGCCTGAGCCGCTGCGTGCACCCCCTGCCCTCTGCTTCCTGGCTGTCCCAGAACTCACCCTGTAGACCAGGCTGTCCTCGAACTCGGAGATCTGCCTGCCTTTGCCTCAAGAGTGCTGGTATTAGAGACGTGAGACTTGACCTCTGGCTTTGCTTCCTGGTTGTGGATGCGACACGACCAGCTGCTTCAAGCCCGTGCTGCCTTGACTTCCCTTGAATATACCTTGAACTGTGAGCTGAAATAAATCCCTTTCCTTTTTAGTTGCTTTTGTCAGAGTATTTTTATCACAGTAAGAAAACAAGTAACTAAGATACTAGAGTTCTGAGCGGTCCTTCGCTGAGAGGGACATAGTCTGCCTAGCCATGGTGATGGCATAAGGGGCAGAAGCTATTGCAACAGCGCAGGCAAGGGGCGGTGAGCTGTGCCTCGGACCACAGTGATGGTGACAGGTGTGGAATGACATTTGTATAGCTTATTTGCGGCGCGGAATATGGTTTGCGCGAACACATCGCTAATGCTTCCTCGGTGGATTTTTCCACTTCGGATTCAAGTCAACGGTGGTGATGGGAGACGCTGAGGGAGATTTAAGGTTACCGTGGATACCGAGCCGCGTGGATGTGAAAAACCTAAGCGGGGTTCTAGGCCTCTAAGCCTCTGGCGCAGCAATAATTCAGCCGCGGAGCCCCCCAGCCGCTCCTCAGTGACCATGCGCAGCAAGCCAGATAGGAGCCTATGGAAAGCACAGGAGGTTCTGAAATCGAGGCCGGCGGACCCCGGGAATCGTAGTTTACAGCCTTTGCGCAGGCGCGGTGGCAGCCGCGGGCTTGCGCGCGCAGCTGCTGCGGGGCAAGGTTCTGAAAGCTTATTGTGGTGCAGCTGGCTGCGGATGCTGGTGCAGGTATCGGTTGTTTCCGCCGTTCGTTTTGGAGCTGCGCCGGTTGCAGGTTCCGAGCGCACACACCTTGGGCGGGTTGGGACCCAGAGCGTTTCGCAGACCAGGCGCTGCGCTGCAGCTGCCGCTGCGGGGGCGTGCGCTTCTGCAGCACCGAGCCATCCCATTCCGTTCCGACCCGTGCTCGGGGCTTGAAAACTTCGCCACCGTGGTATTTTAAGCGAAATAATTCCTTGGTGTGTTTGCTCATGTGCGTGCGTATGTGTGCGATCCTTTGATAAGATTTTTAGCAGCGTCCCTGGCTGTATCTCTCGGGTCTCTGGATCCTCCTTTGTCATAAGCTGGAGCGTCTCCGGGCTTTGCCAGCTGACACCTGTGGGGCAGATCGCTGCTGCTTTCCCCCTTTACCTGCGTCACATTTTCCCAGAGCCTCTATTGAAGTGGCTGCGCATGTCTCGGTCACTGCGGAGTCCAGGTGTCCAAAGGGGAGCCAGGTAACATAGCGGGCGCCTAGGTTTAGCAGAGAAGTAAATGACATCATGCGCGCTGTTTGTCGGGTCCCGAGGTGGGTGGTTAACGCTCGTGTGTCTTGCCCAATTACGGTACCTCTCAGGTCGTAGTTCTGTGATGGAGGTGCTCTGTACCCGCCCGCCGCCACAGTGCCTATTCCCATTTCTGTAGATGCCCAGTCATTTGTTGAATGAATGAATTCATGCAGCACAGGCCAGACTGTGCAAGAAAACGAAAACAAAACATTTGGGGATCAAAGGGAGCTTTCCACGGTGGGGGTGGCGAGTGAGCTGAGAAGAACCAGGGCTTTTGTCTTTGATAGATTCCTTGCGGGGTCCCCCCCTTTTGGTGGTGGAGGTGGTGGTGTGGATGTGAAGATTGACAGCAGGACCTCCGCATGCTCGACAAGCGTCTTGCCCTGAGCAGTGTGTCTAGCTCCAGTTTCATTTTGTGTTTATGGGTGTTTTGCTTGCATGTATGTCTGCACTGCGCGCTTGTCAGAAGAGTGTGGGATCCCTGAAACCGGAGTGACAGGTGGTTGTGGGTTGCTATGTAGGTGGCAGGAATAGAATCAAGCCTGCTTCCTCTGCTAGAACAGCGAGTGCTCTTCACCCCTGAGCCACAGGAGCCCTGTTTTGGAGAATGAGTAAAGGATTGGCAAGAGTAGGAAGGCAACATCCCAAGGAGCGGGGAGGAGGGAATCTTCCTGGTATAAAGGGCAGGGAGAGTTGGCATGGGGGTATTTCTCTGTGGCGCAGTGGCAGTCTGTGAGGTATATTGGCAAATCTCCAGCTTGTTCTTTGTGCCCTCTGCATTGACCCAGGGAGGACCTCTAAGCAGGGAAATGGCAGGCTCGGCTTTGGAGTATTAGGAGAAATCCTGGATTGAAAACGGCTGTACCTAAGAGAGAGGCTCCAAGGTTAAGAGCACGTGTTGCTCTTCCAGAGGACCCAGGCTCAGTTCCCAGCCCCGGCATCTTCTGTAACTCTAACTCCAGGGATCCAATGCCTTTTCCTGCCCTCCATGGGCACAAGGTACACACTTGGTACACACAAATACAGGCAGGAAAAATACTCATACACATAAAATAAATAAATCTAAATTTTAGGATGGAGAAGTCTGAGCTTGGTTATTTATTATATGAAAAGGGGAGGGGAGAGAAATTTGATAGTCAACTATGAAATCAGGTTTTTGAGTTGAGTGACCAACAGGAAATGTGTGTTTGTTGAAAGAAGACAAGACTTGTTAAATAGGTTTGTGCCGGAATCACCTGAAATCAGGAGATCTTCCATTTTGTGTGTGAGGAGTGTTAAGTCTGAAGTAACTCTCCGCTTACAGAGTATATTTAATTGTCTTTATTTAACTCTTTGGGTTTTGTTCTTTAAATATTCTCCCTTTAATAGAATAGTTGGTTTGGCAGAACTTCTCTGAGTCTCTGAGTCTATAGAGGTGTGGGGGTTGGGGGGCTCGTGGGGGGATAAAAGCCAGTGTTTTCAGAACTAACAATCCGTGTACTCATTTAACCTCTCTTGTTTCTTCTTGACAGTTTCTTCGCGACTGTAAACTGGATTCCCGGAGCACTGAGTAGTTATCTGTGCACAGATAGTACTGTTGGCAGAGCACACCGATACTCGATAGTCTAACGAGGACTGGATCCCTGCTGGTGCTACAATGCAAGCTTTAGGGTCCTCAAACATGACAGCTTTCTCCCCAGACCCCTCAGCTCTGCCTTCCAGTGAACAAGGCACAGTTCCTAGAGTGGACACTGTCAGTGTCCGAGAAAGGATCTTAAGAGGATATGCTGATGATCTAGAGGCTTTCAGGCAGAAGTTCAGGTGGTTTTGTTACTCGAAAGAAGAAGGACCCCGAAAAACCCTGAATCAACTCTGGGAGCTCTGCAAGCAGTGGCTAAGACCAGACATTCACACCAAAGAGCAGATCTTACAGCTGTTAGTGTTTGAGCAGTTCCTGAGGGTTCTGCCTGGAGAGATGAGGATTTGGGTGAATTCTCAGCATCCTGAGAGTAGTGCGGAGGTAGTAATGCTGGTAGAAGATTTGAACCAAACGCTGGAAGAAAAGGAAGGTGAGAGTTGCAGGGGAGGGGAGGGGTGAGCGGAACCCCTAAGGTATGAAATAAACATCTCAAAGGAAGCAATACTGCTAAGACTGAAAATTAAGAGTTACAATTATATATTCAAAGATGAGAGATAACTTAAGGCAGTGGTTCTCAACCTGTGGGTCGAGACCCCTTTGGGAATCATCTCAGATATCCAGTATGACAGATATTTACATTATAATTGCAAAATTACAGTTATGAAGTGGCAATGAAAATAATTTTATGGTTGGGGGTCATCACAGTATAAGGAATTGTATTAAAGAGTTGCAGCATCAATAAGGTTGAGAAACACTGATTTAAGGGAACCATTCTATTTACAGATTACTCGTAATCGGTTCTGCACTGTGGGGTCTCAGAGGCCCTAGTTTTGGAAAATGAGCCTGTTGTGTTGATGAACAAGTCAAAGAGGCATCACAGCCCACATTTTAGGCATCCCAGTTATCTGTGTGACCACAAATTGAATTGGTGCCAGTAGGCAGTACTTCATCCTAGCTAGCTTAGAGCTTGTCTGTCCTTCCCTCCACACTTCTGGCCTCTGTGTAGAGACTCCTGCAAATAATCCGTTGATAGCAGCAATGAACAGTTTCTTAAGTTAATCCTCTTGCATCTTTATAGAACTCTTAACTTTTTCCCAATTATCTGGTCAATAAAATTGCTTACAGTTCTTGTTATAAGATGGTAGAGTGTGATTTGGAAAAATTATTTACTTTTACTTGAAAAAAAAATTGTCATCTCAGGTTGTTCAGTGCGTTTAGTCACTGAATTCAGGCTTTTTCTGGGGTCTGGAGCCAGTCTTCCACCCTTAAGCTCCCAGTGAGTTCACCGGAACCCCACCTGCACTTTCCCCTTAAACACACACTGGGGTTTTCTTGTTTCTTAACTATAATCTGTAGGAATCAGCTGGTAAGTTCAGAGGCACAGTTGTTTGTTTTTTTGGTTTGGTTTGGTTTGGGTTCGGTTTTTTTGGCCAGCATGGTGTCTTTGTTCAGTCAGCAGCTATGAGTAATATTTGAGCAAAGCTAGTTTACCTTTATAAATCTTATAAATTAGAGATTAAAAAAAAAACTGTTTACCGAGTAATTATTTTATAGCTACTTTTATAGCTACGGAATTTATGGAAAGAAGGAATTCAGTTTTTGTGGACTCAAGAACTGAAAAGATCTTTTGATGAAATAGTGGAGGAAAGCCTATTTTTTTTAAATATAGAAAACTATCTCTCTGGCAGTCCTGCATTTTAAAGAGAAGGAAAAATTGATTTTTTTTTCTCTGCTCTAGAGAACCGTGAAACCCTATGGTATTATAAAAATAGATACTTGAAATATTTGAGTTTTCATTCCCTCCTTGACCTGCAGCCCCTATACCTTGCTGTTTTCCAAGTGACTGGAGCAATAAATGCCTTTTTATTAAAATATTTGACCTTTCCTCCTTGGTTCCTGAAACCTGTCCCAGAACCTTTGATAGATGTCAAGGTGAAAGACAGTTGTCTGCTCATTTATCAGGCCCCTTGCAGCCTTGCCTGAATTTACTGAGGTGGCATTTGGAATGTCCACACGTAACTACCCGTGAAGGCAGATTTCCAGTGCAGTTATAAGAGGATGAAACTCACAGCCCCCCCCCCTCCAGAGGAGAGGGCTCAAAGTTGAGGTGACCACCAGTGGTGTCACTAATCATGCCTACATGATGAAATTATCTTTTAATTTTATATTAATTACAGTTTATTTTCTATACCAGCTGTAGCCCCCTCTCTCATTCCCTCCAAATCCCACCCTCCTTCCCTCATTTCCCATGCTTCTCTCCAAGTCCACTGATAGGGGAGGTCCTCCTCCCCTTCCATCTGATAAACTCTAGTTTATCAGGTCTCATCAGGACTGGCTGCATTGTCTCCTCTGTGGCCTGGCAAGGCTGCTCCCCCTCAGGGGGAGGTGATCAAAGAGCCAGCCACTGAGTTCATGTCAGAGACAGCCCTGTTCCCCTTATTAGGGATCCCACTTGGAGACTGAGCTGCTATGGGCTACATCTGAGCAGAGGTTCTTGGTTATCTAGGTTATATCCATGAATGGTCCTTGGTTGGAGTATCAGTCTCAGAAAAGACCCCTGTGCCCAGATTTTTTGGTTCTGTTGCTCCCCTTGTGGGGCTCCTGTAATATAGAAATTGTGGTAGATTTACACAATGGAATACTACTCAGCATTTTGATACAAGGAAATCATGAAATTTGCAGGCAAATGGTGGGATCTAGAAAAGATCATCCTGAGTGAGATATCCCAGAAGCAGAAAGACACACAAGGTATATACTCACTTATAAATGGATATTAGACATATAGGATAAACATACTAAAATCTGTACACCTAAAGAAGCTAAGCAAGAAGGAGGACCCTGGGTAAGATGATCAATCCTCACTTAGACAAATGGGATGGACACTGGAAGAGGGAGAAAACAGGAAACAGGACAGGAGCCTACCACAGAGGGCCTCTGAAAGACTACCCAGCAGGGTATCAAAGCAGATGCTGAGACTCATAACCCAACTTTGTGCAGAGTGCAGGGAATCTTATGAAAGAAGGAGGAGATAGAAAGACCTGGAGATGAAATTGTGTTAAAGAAAGCTGGACATGGAGGGATTTCTGGAGGGTGGTTATCCATGAGGAGGGTAGAGGAGGAGTTTGTATCTGGGTGTGTCCAGGCTGTGACTAAATTCAGAAGCTCTGACCCTCTTCCGAAGGCAGTTTTGTCATCTGGCTGTTTGTTTGTGCCCTTTCTAACATCTTTCATGTTAAGTAGGCAAGTAAGTGTCTGTGAGCCACTCCAGCAGGTTAGCCCAGCTCGAGGAGGGGTTGTGAGTTCTGACTTAACACAAATGATGGAACTGAAAAACCAGGTTGATTTTTCTGTTTCCCAGATCTTAGCACTCAGGATTCTGCTGTTTGCAAAGAGGAGGATTTGGGAGAAGATGAGATGGTGGCTGTTCCTCCGAGTACCGAGCCACGTGTAAGTTTTCTTTCACTGGTTTTTATTCTTCAAGATACAAAATAAACCCAGACAACTTATAGGTCACCGTTTACATGCAGTTTATTAGGATTCACGGACTACAACATTATTCTGATGCTAAACAAAAGCATTTAAGGTGAGTGAGGCGGCTGAGTGGTCGAAGGCTCCCTCGGGTGAGCGTGATAGCCTAATTCGGCCCCCAGAGCTGTCTAGTAGAACGAGAGAATTCCACTAGGTGGTCCTCTGACCTCCACGGGTGTGCTGAAACATGCTTAATGCACCACCACCGGCCCCAAAATTTTTGACGGGGAGCATTTAGTGAAAACCAAAAGTTACTCTTGACAAGAACGAGTCAGGTGGAAATAGAATTATATTTTCCTGATATGGTAAAGAACTTCTCCACCTGGGTAAAATCAGAAGGTTAAAAGAAACAGGGCTCATAATGTAAGCAAAATGATCAATATTTCCCGAATATACCAGTCAACCAAGTGAAGTAAGAGAGAAATGTGCTGTAAATGTTGAGAGACAAAGGCATATTATTTACAGTGTTATTGTCTGTTTGGAGAAGCTTGGGATCAGCTGAGACGAGCTCATGCAGGAGCAGATACTAGTACCAGTCATTTCCAGTGAGGGAAAATTACACTAATGAGCCAGGTGTGCGCACGCCTGTGATCCCAGCGCTCAGGAGGCAGAGGCATGTGGAGCTCTGCGAGTTCGAGGCCAGCCTGGTCTACAGAGTCCAGGACAGCCAAGGTTACACAGAGAAACCCTGTCTTGAAAAAACAACAATAACAAAATACAATATTAAATAATAGTTCTATAGAAGGGCAATAATGAGCCCCAGAAATATGTCTGCTTCCTGGTCCCTGGAACTTGTATTATTTGCTTGAAGAAAAATCATTCGTTACACGTGTAGTTAAGCTATAGGTTTTAAGGTGAAAAATTGGGCCATGTGTGGTGATGCATGCCTTTAATCCCAGCACTTGGGAAGCAGGTGGATCTCTGTGAGTTTGCCAACCTGGACTACAAAGTGAGTCCAGGACAGGCAAGGCTGCACAGAGAAACTCGGTCTTGAAAAACTAGGAAAAAAAAAAAAAAGATGAAGAATTGATCCTACTAAATTGGAAAGAAGGCTGGGCAGTGATGGCCCACACCTTTAATCCCAGGACTTGGGAGGTAGAAGCAGTCGGATCCCTGAGTTCAAGGCCAGCATTGTCTACAGAGGAAGTTCCAGGATAGCCAGGGCTACACAAAGAAACCCTGTTTTGAAAGAAAAAAAAAAAAAAAGCAAAATAAATAAATAAATTTTATTATTAATATATAAATAAAATAAAGTAGAATTGGAAAGATTCATTGATTCTGGGTTATATGTCATGAGTCCTTACGAGAGAAGCATAAAGCATTTGAGTACAGCGATGATGAATCAGAAAGGGAGGCAGTGTGGAGGTACTGAACCACAGCCAGGGAAGGTCAGAGAATGCTGGCAGCCAGTGGGAGCTAGACAAGCAAAGGATGGGTTCTTCCTCAGAGGCTCGAGAGTGCACTCCCGCCAGCGCCTGGATCGCCTGTTTCTGGAATTGGGAGAGAATATACTTGTGTTGCTTGAAGTCTCGGGTGCTAGCATTTGGTTACATGGTAGAAGGTTGACAAGGTACTAATCCACGTGCTAGTAAACACCATTGTTCTGCCTCCTCGCCCCAGAGGATGCTGTAGATTCTAGAAAATGAATTTAAGCCACATGGGAGACACGCACCTATAATTCCTGAGCTCAGGAGACTCAGTCAAGATGGCTGGTTTGAAGCCCATTCGGGTTCTGACCAAGTCTCAAGGGAAAAGAGAGAGTAATTTTAACGAGCCAGCATTCTTGTTTGCAAGTGTGACATACTTGAAAGCATGAGTGTATTGCCGAGCCAGAGTCTCTTGGATTGTTGTTTTAAAGTATTACTGCAGCTGGGCGTGGTGGTGCACACCCAGAGTCCAGCACTAGAGGCTGGCCTGGCCTTCGGAGAGAAACGCTCAGTAATGACAGTCAGGACAACGCTCCTTCACCCGGCTAACGTGTGTGTAACACAGCTGCTCTTACGTAGTTAACTGTTACCGTAGTTAGTTTATATGCTACATATTTGAGGATGGGGAGTGTCAATTTATAATTTTCCATAATTGACACATTAGTTAGAAATTCCTGGGTTAGGGTTAACAGCCTATATATGGTCAGTATTTAATGCCAGGCCCCACTGGGAGCTGACACAATGCACAGATGCTGTGATTGGCCTTCTAGGAGTCTGTAACGTTTGAGGACGTGTTTGTGGACTTTAGCAGAGGAGAGTGGAAGATGCTGGAGCCGGCGCAGAGGGAGCTGTATAAGGAAGTGCTGCTGGAAAACTTAGGGAACGTAGAATTCTCAGGTAAAGACTCTTCTCTTCATGATCTAACGTCTGCGTGGGTAAACCTTCATCTTCTGTTACCTTATCTGGAAGATACTGTATTTTAACAATTTTTAACTATTTTAACCATTTCTGCTGAGCATCTAGGACCTGACATGACTATTCCTAAAAATGGACCCTAAAAAATGTACTTTTCTGTGATACTTCCTCCTGAAACAGTTTTTGCTCCATTGCATTGGAAATGTGGAGTATGATTTTGCTGTCTCCAGTGTTATGCCTTCCCCTTCCTCCTCCTTGGATTCTTCCTTTTCTGTATTTGGCATCATCTTTATCTTCCTTAAAGAAACAGGCTAAACATGAATGTTGAGTCACTGTCATTCTATGTGTAAAAAATCATTTTTTGTTCTTTTCTCTAAGCAGGCGCTCCAGTTTCCAAATTTGACTTGATTTCCCATCTGAAGTGGGTCAAGTTACCAAGGGTACTAGAAAAAGAACTTTCAAAAGGCCCCAGACCAGGTGAGTTAGTTGGTGGTAAAAGGTAAGAAGGAAGTGAAAACTGTTGTTGACCAGGCTAGTGGGAAAAATCTTTGAAATGCTGGGTGGGCCTATTGCTAGAATATAATGTTGACTGATTAGAAAAGAGCCATCACTTTCCTGGAATGTTCTTTGTGATGGGGGCACTATTGATTTGGGTCCTCTGAAAAGTATTTTCAAGACTGGAGATTCGTTGGGAGAAATTTCAAGCAAAGAAAAATGGAGAAGGAGGTGGCAGTGGTGACACACGCTTGTACTCCCAGCACTCAGGGAGGCAGAGGCAGCAGATCCCTGTGAGTTCGAGGCCAGCCTGTCTACAGAGCCAGTCCAGGACAGCCAAGGCTACACAGAGAAATCCTGTCTCAAAAAAAAAAAAAAAAAGAAAAGAAAAGAAAAGAAAAAGAAAGGTGGAGAAAGAGTTAGGATTGCTGTGAGTGCACAGTGCAGGTGTAACCTCTGAAGTGAGGGAGGAGGAACAGAGGTTGGGAAGGAAGTATCTTTTTTATTATCATTTATTACAGTTTATTCAATTGTGTCCCAGCTGTGGCCCCCTCCTTGTCTCCTCCCAATCCCCCCCCCCCTCCCTCTTCTCCCCTTATGCCCCTCCCCTAGTCCACTGATAGTGGATGTACTAGGGAAGAAGTATATTAAGCAGTAGATGGTTTGTGAAGTTAGTCAAGACCAAAGACTGGGACAACAGTCACCTGAGAGGGGTTCCCAATCTCATAGAAATGGTCCTGTGTCTGTGTCCGTCACCACTGACAGCAAGAGGGCGTGTGACCAGTGGACGTGACGTGAATGCAGTAGCAGAGGCGGGCAGGCAGTCTCCCCACAGCAGCTCTGAGAAGCACATCATTATGGACACTTAAAAGACCAAGCATCCACACGAGTGTGTTAGTAACGTAACTCAGGCCTTAGGAATGGCACATAAAGGGGCTGTGGAAGTATGTGGACATAGATACCGAAGCCACAATGGTTGGTGTTAGGATTATATTTTTACTTCCATGATGCGAAGCGATGCATGTTGACTTGAAACTCTACTTAACCTGCAGTGTGTGATCTGATACTCTTTTGCAAGGCTGGGCAGCTGAGTCACTTAACACAATCATGATCATGAAAGCTTATGCTTAAAAGCCCCAGAGTATGTCGGCTGTGCTGAATACATTTTTACTTAGGGTGCTTTGACCTTACGATGGATATACCAAAACATAACTTTATTGTAAATAAAAGAACATCTGTATAAAGGAACAATACCTTAATTAGCATTTGAACTTAATCTTGAAGAGTAAGTGGGAAATCAGCCAGTAAATATGTATAATAATCCCATTTTTTTGTGAATAAAATGCTCATATGGCTAAATGTATAGGTTAAATATTTGTGGATTTTTAACATCTGAGAAACATTTTTGCTAACATTTATGTTATTTTTATTATGTTAACCTTCAAGGGATTAGGCTTTTCCTTTGTCTTTCTCTGTATCTTCCTAAAATTTAAAAATAACTACATTTAATATACATTTTAATAATTAAAATGCCATTATATACATTAGTACCTTTCTTTTTAAAAAAAAGTGAAACTGGTCATTCTTTGGCCCATTTTCTAAAGCATTTATTTTAGCCAACCTTTCAGTTGTTCCATTATAATTACATAAATAAAAAACAATTGTTTTATTATGTTTATGCAACAATTTAGAGATTAATCCCCAAAATGGGTTTTGTGCTGTTTTGCCATTTATATTAAAGGTAGACTTAATAGATATAATTATTTAACTCACACAAATCAATAATGAGCTAACAGTAGATAATTTAGAAATAACAAGCAAACAGCTTGCACAGATAACTAATGAAAATGGCTACTGAACATGAAAAAGTTCCAACTTAGTCAGGAGTCGGATTATATATTTAAAGCAGCAGTACTGTTACGAATTGAATCTGTAGACATGTAAGGCTCATCGATCAGAGGTGGGTGCTGGGGCACCATTCCTTAGGAATTATGTGAAGCTGAACATGCACAGACACGCACATACAACACAGAACCTGAGCCCTGTGTCTTGTGCTTGCTAGGCATACGTTCTACCACCGAACTGTATCCCTAACTGTAGGGACATAATTTGATAAACACTCAATAAGGGAATCAATACATTATGTAAGATAGGTCGTTTATGTAACTGATATGACTTTCAAAAATCGCTAATGATCTTGGAAATATTAGAGCAAAATAATATACATCTAATACATCTTAATTTTTCTATTCTAAACTGTATGAAAAACTTTATATAACTTGTAAATAGTAGGATTTTGAGTTTTAGAATTGCCTCTTAAAACAATTAGAAAGATGACTCTGTGATCTTATAATTAAAGACAGAATAGGGGCTGGGGTCAGAGGTAAAGTACTTGCTATGCAAGCATGGAGACCCGGGCTAGACTGTCCAGGACCCGTGTAAAAGCCGAGCATGGACTTCGGTGCTTGTAATCTCAGCCTTGTGACAAACACAGGTAGATTTTAGGCAGTGGTTGGCCAGCTAAACTAACTGTAGGAGTGAACTTCTGGTTCAGCAAAAGACCCTGTATTAAAAAAACAAAAAAACTGGAAAGCAATAAAAGATACCCAGCATTCTCCTCTGACCTCCATATACATATATATTGGCAAGTGCATTCCCACACATACACACACACACACACACACACGCACGCACACACAAGTAAACAGAAGGGGGGATGCCAGAGTGAATGATACAGTTAAGAAATAAATTCAAAGTTCTAAGAAAAACACCATGAATATATGTTTTTGGAGAAAGCTCCTCATTGATTACAGCAGTCTGAACCTCTGATCCTGTCAGATTTACAAAACTGAACTGAGGCATTGCATTTTAGGCAGTAGGTTTTCAGACCCAAAGAACAGGATTAAGAAGAAGAAGAAAAACGGGTGCCTGATGCTCATGTCTTGGTAGGGCCAGGTTGTGGTGTTGTCTGAAGACTTATCATAGGTGATGCCGCATGTTGCTGGGATAAGTGGTGACTTCTATGAAATCAGTGCATTTATTTCTTTGAGAAATGGCTATGTAATACAGGGATCAAAAGGATGGGCTGTGGTGGGAAATTAAATTACGGCCTTAGAGTTGCAGAGATGGCTCAGTGGTTGATAGGAGGGGCTGTTCTAGAGGACTCGAGTTCTCAGCACCCACGTGGCAGTTCCCAGACATCTGTAACCCAGTATTCTGGCCTCTGTGGGTGGTACATGTATGTGACACACAGACATACATGCAGGCAAAACTCATACAAAATAAAAATACAAGAATTTTTTTTATTTAATTTTATTTTTTTCTTATCAGTTACATTTTATTAACTCTGTATCCCGGCCGTGTCCCGCTTCCTCATTCCCTCCCAATCCCATCCTCCCTCCCTCATCTCCACCCTCAAGTCCACTGATGGGGGGGACCTCCTCCCCATTCATCCGATCCTGTTTTATCAGGTATCTTTAGGACTGGCTGCAAAGCCCTCCTCTGTGGCCTAACAGGACTGCTCCTCCCTTGGGGGGTGGGGAGGTCAAAGAGCCAGCCATTGAGAACTGGTTTTGAAGAAGAAAAAAAAAACATATACACCTCTGTTTTTAATGCCATATTTCTATTACATACATCAAACCTTTGTGAATTTCTGACAGCCAACACCACATCAATGGATTTTCTCATGTTTAATATTTCAGTTAAATATTTATCAAGTGTATTTTCAGGACAATAAAATCTCTGTTTTTTTTTTTAAAAAAAAATACAAGAATCTTCTGTCTGGCTTTCACAGCTTACAATACAGGTGATTAGGGCAAACTCTGGCTCGCTGTGTGCCCAGCCGTGACAGCCAGAAAATGAAATACGAGCTGTACTTCGTCAGCTTGTTGTGAGGATTAAGTGAACTGGTACAGACACAGTGCTTATCGCGGGACTGACCATTTGCTTAGCATTATAAAGTCTGGGTATAAGAGACAGTAAGAAGGTTTGAATCTGGTACAGAAACTGGAAAAAGAGTGCGACTTGCAACTTTGCTTGCATAAAGCATTTCACCCTCTACAATATTTCTCCCAGCCTCTGTGTTCGTCTTGCTTTCCTGCATCGCTTTTATCTCGCCTGTCTATACAGCTATAATATCGTAAAATATGATATAATCTTCTCTAACATAATATGGCTTGATAACTATCTAAGCCATTTTTCTTAAAATCGTTACTGTGTTCCTATGTCAGTCCCAAATATAGCATTTTCCTTTCTTGCAAATGGGAGACACTTGCTTTCTAATCTCTTTTAGAGGCTGGAAGTGAGTCTAGAAGTGAGTTGGATACTTTTATAGAAGACTTGACTTTAGAAAAAATCGTAGAATACTGCTTCAGTGATGATGGTTATGGCTTGAAGACAGAATTCCAAAAGCGACATGGTAAATCCAAGAAAGGTCATGGCAAGCAGAGTAGCCATGGGAGTAAAGAGCCTGAGTCTGAAGAGAGCCCCTCTGGAAAGAATTCCAAACAAACTTCTGGCACAGCCAAACATCAGAGAGCCTCCTTAACAAAGAAGTGTCCGAGGTCGAAGGAAGGCAAGAAACCCTTCAGTTACCATTCAGACCTTGTGAACCACAAAGAGCGCAGTGCAGAAAAGTCAAGGAAGTGCAGTGAAAGTGACAGGGACCCACGTCACCCTTCATCTCTTATTGAACACACGAAACAGCCAAAGATTGGTTCGTTGAGTAAGACTCAGAAGTGTAGCAAGTGTGGGGTAACGTTTACTCAAATCTCATGGCATAGTAGTAAAAGCTCTGAATGTGAAAAGTGCCGGAAGAACTTATTTCAAGATGAAGCCTCAAACAAAGACAAAGGAGCGGAAACTGAAGAGTCCAGCAAGTGTAGGAAGTGCGGGAAAGCCTTCGGCTACACTTTGAAACGCTCTGTGTGTATTCCGTGCAGAAAAGCCCGCAAAGCTAGTTCGTCCCTCAAACCACGTAAAAAAACGGACATAAAAAGGCCTTACAAGTGTGATGAATGTGGAAAAAGTTTTGCTGGGTTGCAAGCTATTGATAAGCATCGACGAAGTCATACCGGGGAAAAGCCGTATGTGTGTAAACACTGTGGGAGACCCTTCAGTGACAGCTCCTCATTTTATCAACACCAGAGAATCCACACGGGAGAAAAACCGTACAAGTGCAATGAGTGTGGGAAGTCCTTCACTCATAGCTCGTCTCTTTCCAAACACCAGAGAATACACACTGGAGAGAAGCCCTATAAGTGTAATGAGTGTGGAAAAGCCTTCAGACAGAATTCTTGCCTTACCCGACATCAGAGAACACACACTGGAGAAAAACCGTATGTGTGTAAGGAGTGTGGACTGTCTTTCAGCCTTTTCAGTACTGTCGTCTATCATCAAAGACTTCATGCAGGAGAAAAACCCTACAAATGCACCCACTGTGAAAAAGCCTTCCCTACTCACTCCCGCCTCAGCCGCCACTTGAGATGTCACAGTGGTGCAAAACCATACAAATGTAAAGACTGTGGGAAAACGTTCAGACAGAGTTCATCTCTTAATTTGCATGTCCGAACGCATACTGGAGAGAAGCCCTACAAATGTGATTATTGTGAAGCAACGTTTACTCGGAGCACAATCCTTATTGAGCATGTAAAAACTCACACCAGAAGTGTACAGTATGAATGTAAAAAATGTGGTAAGAAATCCAAAAGTCGGTCAGCCAGTCTCAGGCATAACTGTACAGCATAATTCTGAGAACGCAGTAAGAGGAGGGGAGGTTAATTCAGATTGTGCCCTTAGTTAAAAACTTGACATGTAAACTACCCACAGCATTGATTAGAAGCTTCAACTTTAGTGGCTTCACATCCAGGAAGAGACTTCTTCCCCTTTGGTGCCTCTTCTCAAGGATGGTCAGTTTTGATTAGACTTGATAAAGTTATGTTGACGTGAAGAAAATCTGCTGGGAAGAGAAATAATCCTGAAAAGACAAACTTAAGTTTGAGAAGCACTTTTCTTCAAGGAATTCTCTCTCTGGCTTCCCTCCCACTGCCCTATGGTATAATGGAAAAGAACGTAACTGGGCTGTCATAGCCTGGGTTCTACCCCAGTTTGCCAACCAACCACTGTGTCACCCTAAATCTTCATTTCTTTACCACTAGAGTGAAAAGACATTAATGATTTCTATGCTTTCTTTTTGTCTGATATTCTGATACTACAGAAATTGTTTGAACATGTTTGATTCATTGGAATTGTTGTATCCAGTGGACAGTTACTTTCTTACAAGATAGTGGACTTGTAGATTAGTGAGAAAATGGAATGTTTGGCAGAGGATCCGAGAATGTGATAAACCACATCGGGGAAGCTCACTGACGTTTCCCTTCAGATAATGCTCTAATTGGCACAAATGGCTCCAGCTCTTTATCTTTTGAGATTTGCCCTCCATGGATTGAAAATCCAGAGAGCTTGTACCTGAGCCAGCCAGTCCTGAAAGTAAGAGTCCTGGAAAAGCATCAAAGCCAACTGTCCGGGATGGATTATTCCCCTGCAGCGAACACAGCCTCCTGCTCCACAGTGTAAGAATTCTCTATGGCAAAAGTCACAAGATGCTAGACTGAATCAAGTTGGAGCCTTGATGTGTTTAGTTGGTTTGTAGAGTGGGGTAGGTGTGGACACACAAAGCTTTCTCTCTTTGGAAGTAAGGAATTTTCATGTTTTAGAGAAAGAGCTAAAAATGTGTAAGAGCTGACCACATTAGCCTGTTATTTCTTTGGAGAGCTCAGCTGGTCTGATATTTTCTGAAGTGAGACTTCAATGGAATGGACTATACGGGTATTGAGGGGTAGTTCTTAAATTTGTAATTGATGGAATCTTAGTTTCTAACTAAAAAAAAAGAAAAGAAAGAAGAAAAAGAAAGAAAGAAAAAGAAAGAAAGAAAGAAAGAAAGAAAGAAAGAAAGGAAAGAAAGAAAGAAAGAAAGAAAGAAAGAAAGAAAGAAAGAAAGAAAGAAAGAAAGAAAGAAAGGTAAGAAAAAAAAAAAAGAAAGACCCTGAATGAGGTAGTTTGGGTCTCAGGTCACTAGATGCAGAGGGACTTGATTGTTGTGTAGAAATGATTTCCTCACGTTGAAATCTGAGGCAGATCGTCGTGAAGAGCGAGCTACACCAGCACTCTGTCTTACAGGTGGAAGTCTCAGGCTGACCTGAGACTCAGGGATACTTGCTGAGGTAATATGTTGACATTTGAAGTGCTACCTCTGGGTACAAGGTTTGTGGGTTCTTCTGGGTGGCTCCTCCTCATCTCTAAGCCCCCCAAAATCTGACATTACTTTGTGATAAATTGATCAGTATAGCTGTTGCCAAACGGACCTAGTAAACACATTCCTGGTGCCAAAGGAACGTGGCTTATAAGAATCACATGGGCTTAAGGATTTTTGGAAAGGATATATTTTATTGAAATATTTAATGAAGTACATTAAAAAAACTCTTAAAAAGAGTTCTGTTCCAGGGTGTTCTAGGGAATTTCACAAGAGGATGTTTTTTTTATCCCCGTCTCAGTTGGGGATTAGAAACAAAACTTTTTTTTAACAACTTCATTAAAATAGAACATATATGCCTAAACACCAAGGTGTGCAGTTCAGCGAGTTTTTGTCTTTCTTTCCCCATTAACATCGTGTTTTTAAGTTTATGCATGTTATAGCCTGTGTGATTCTTACTATTAAAATGTGGTTTGTTGGTATTGTTTGTTGTTAAGTGATATTCTTTTTTGTGTGTGATATTCTCTCATACGGATACTTTATCCGCATATCCGAGACAGGACGTTCTCTTCATTCCCCCTAGACAGACTACTGTTAGGAACAGCACTGTGAATTTAATTGTAAGTCTGTTAGACATTAATCTAATTGTTATGCTTGGTAGACATTTATAGGTAGAGTTTCCGTGTCGTGTAAATTTTTTTTTAACTTTTTAGGAAACTGCCAGATAGCTTCCCAGTGTGGCTCCATCATTTTAAGTGTACTGGCAGCAGTGTGGGAAGTTCCATTTTCTTTACATCTGTGCCAATCTTTAAAACTATCAGAGTCAGTCTGCCGAAGTGTCATTTTCATGTGGTTTTAATTTGCATTTCCCTGATGGCTAATGTCATCATCATCCTTTCACATGTCTCCTTATCTATTTGAGCTTTCTATTACTGTGTACTAGAGGGAAACTATAAAACTGTAAAATAGTTATCAATGTCAAAGTATTTATCACTAACTAATAAATTGCACAAAAAGCATTCAGTCTGGCCTAGCACATACTGAAATCAAATTTTAGATTGACAGGTCATCTAAAGGTTTTTAATTTATGATTTATGACTCTTCATAGAATTTCTTTTTAAAGCCTTATTTAGCATTTTTTACTTGTTTATAGTGATGAGTATTTTAATCAGCTCTATTTTAAAACAAAGCCCTTGCTCTTTGTCTTTGGTCTCTCCCAAGCTCCTGGTCATCAGAATTCTTCCTTTCTACGTCTGGCTCTTGTTAGTACCTCACACAAATAAAAACACAATCTGTGTCCTTTTGTGCCTGGCTTATCTCACTTGGCATATAATATTGCAGGCATGCATTGATATTTTCAGTTGGAAATCTTAAACGCTTGCGAGTCATTCAAGTAGTGTGATAAGAGAACACAAGGTCATCACATGTACTGTCGACGGTTCCTAGACTCGTCATCTGCGCATGCGTGCTGAGGACTTGGGACTAAATACCCGACTCCTCTTCGGAGTCCGCTTTAGAAAAGCGAGTAAGCACACTTTCGACTTGAATCGTAATAAAGCACTGTAATGAAGCAGTGAGGAAAAAGCTCTCTTGCTTTAAAATGACCACAAATCTGGTCTTTTAACTCAGCTACAATTGTATCTTCTTAAAAGAAACAAATCTTTATGTTTAGCTGAAAATTCCTAACAGATGAAAAAAAAATCTAATAAATCAGAAGTTTGAGATTTGAGGCAATAAATTGGCTCCTCTTTGTAAACTTAGGTGTTCACTGAGACAGTATAATCAAAGTTTTACTTGGGCAATGTCTTCTACAGATCATCTAAAACTAAAAATACTTGAAATTTTTCAAATTTTGGGTCAACTGATTTTTGATAATAGAAATGTATATATTCTGTGAGAAATATGTAATTTGTTCATGTTTACACTGAGCAGAATTATTAAGTGTTGTGATGTTTTGTTTTCCTGGAGTGTTTTAGATTGTTGTTTTTTTCCAGTTTTCTGAGTGGATTATGGTCCTTGGGTTCACTTTTCTCTGTCTGTGGTCCTGTTTGTGTGTGTACACGTGTGTAGGAGTCAAGCTACTCTGTGAGCTGGCACGCTTATAATCTGAAATCTGTTAAAAAGTTAAGATACTGTGGTTAGAAATTTAAAGTTTATTTTGCCACTTGTTTTTGTGAAATTTTTAAATTGTTGAAGAGAGATTTAGATCTGAAAAAAAATTTTTTTAGTGTTGCATACTGTGTTGTCTTTAATACTTGAACTCTGCTGCTGCTGCTGTTGCTGCTGCTGCTGTAAATTGCAACTGGCATTCATCAGTGAATGTGCATTGGACCCTGTTTCAGTCCCTTCTTTCCCTACCGTGACACCTACATACAGTACAAGCTTCTGTGTCTGCACTGAATTCTGCCTTAGAAATATGCCTTTGACTAAACTTTGCATATTTTTCAGTATTTTTATGTATAGAATAATCAAAACTCTTGTAAGAAGCCCTCTCGGTCTATGGTTGTGAAGTATACGCGTAGCTCTGTAGCGTGCTGGCTGCACAGGATGCCGCTGTAACCTGTTAGGATACTCCTTCTGGGTAGAGACAAATGCCATTTGCTGGTTCTCAGTGCTGACCAGATTGGTGACATATGTGTACGTCACTGAAAAACGCAGGCTTCTCCACAGTGCGCGGTGCAGTAGTTAAAGTGAATCACAGCTCTGCTGAAACAATAAAGTTGTATTTAATGTGCAATGCCTCTTGCTTTTGTTTTTACTTTGGATTTTTGTGTGTGTGCACGCACGTTCGCATGTGTGTGCATGAACATACCTGTCATGTCATGTGTTTGAAAGCCAGAAAACAATTATGAGAGGTAATTCTCTCTCCCATGTGCCTTCCAGGGATCAAACAGTTGGCAGCCTTGGTGGCAGGCCCCCTTAGCTGCCAAGCCATCTCGTTAACCCTAGCTTTTAGTTTAGTCTAGTTTTGTTGTTTTTTTTTTTGTTTGTTTGTTTGTTTTTTTTTTTTTTTGAAAGAAGTACCATTCATATCTCCAGTTCTCAGTAGCCTCCATTGGTTATCAAATTGGATAACACAGTTGGAGAAAGAAATGTTAGCCAGAGAAGGCAGCAAGCCACAGTAGCCTGTTTCAGTAAAGAATGATTTCCTAGGCCTACCGACCTTCAATAGCTTGCTGCTCTGGGTCATGTGACCTCCAAGTTCCAAAAGGCAAGGAGAGGGAAAAATGTAGTGTTTAACAAGACAATAGTTTGAAAACTATTACCCAGTGCTGTGTCCTGAGCACCTCAGTCCTGGAAACCCGCTGGGGAGATGAGGGAATGAAGAGCAAACACAGCATTGAGTACAGCATTGCTGGGGTCAGGTGGCCGTGTGCACTCAGCTGGAGTGCACACCTCCATGACACTCCAGACCCTCAGCATGGTTAGCATGTACAGCATGGGGGAGGGTTACCTAGACTCTCCAGGCCATCAGTCTCGGGTTGCCCTCATCTGCAAGAAAGAAGCGGCAGTTGCTAATGTTGCCATACATTGGTCAGCAATCTATACACACTTGTGCTGGCCTGGACCGTCAACATTCACGCCTGGGCCAGAGGAAGGCTTTGCCATACCTCTGCACCTCACCAGGAGAGCCTTCCACTCTAGTGGGCCTGAGGCACTGAGGTCCTCGACAGCCCAGCCGCACTCAAGACTTCACCTGCACCTCCATTTAATCAGGTCTCCCTAGCCTCCTCACAGTCTGGAAAGAGCTTAGAGCCATTGGCCTTACCTAGGTGACGAGGCCCCCCATGGCACTGTAGGGGTGTCCCAGGATAGTGTTCTAGGGTACTTCTCATGTTTTGGGGGACTTCTTTTAAAGTCAAAAGTCTATTTCCGTTTCAAATTTTCATACACTTTTTAAATCCTGGTTTCATACATTTTAATTAAAATAGAATTGCATCACCCCCTCCCTTGGGGAGGGACTGGCCCCTCTCCCTTGTTTCCTCAACCTTTCTACGCCTTAAAACAGTGTGGGGCTTGGCCCGGTGCTTGTCTGTCGATGCTGGTTACTGCCTGGCCACACCCACCCTTGTTGTGTAAACCCACCTGGTTGGCTGATTAAATGGCAGGGCAAGATGGGGTAGGCGTGGCCAAGGTGCAGGGCTTTAGAAAACAGGAGAATCTGTTGAGAAGAGGAGGAAGGAAGCCACCGCAATGGGTCAGCTTAGAGCAGAAACCACATGGGCTGGGAGGAAGGACTCCAATAATGGTGTAAAAAGGCCCTTTACTACAAGACGGGGTTCTCACTGAATCTGGAGCTTGCCGACACTGACTGTCTGGCTAGACAGCTTGCTCTGGGGACTCCTACGTCTCCACGTCCTCTGCTGGGATTACATGCGGGTCACATACCCACCTAGCTTTTAAGTAGGTTCTGGGGATCCAAGCTTGCACTGCAAGCATCTCCCTAGCTCAGAAAGCTCCTACTTGAGGGTAAGACACTGTAGTTTCTATTACCCTTGTTTGATCAAACCTACACAGAACCATTCTGTCACCACCACGCTCTCATCAGGTGCCCTTACAGCCCTCCAGCTAAGACTGCCTGTGCCTGCCACTCCCTCTGCTTCCCATGCTGCTGTTTCCTTGCCCAGTTTGTCTCCACCACCACCACCATCACCACCCCCTGCCCACCAGGCCCTGCAGTCGGACAGTAGCTCTACTGTGAACTCCACAGGCACAAGTGCTCTTCAACCTGCCAGGGATCCAGCTGCCTGTACCAGGTCCTTCATTTTCCTGTGGACACTCATCTTTATCTTCTTCGGGACTACACATCTCCTGCTGGGACACCCCGTGGGCGACACTCTGCATAGCCTGCCGGAACTCTTTAACTGGGTTACAGCGGCCCCTTCGTTCTGCCGTCATTGAGTCCTCACACTAGGCTGCCCTCCTGTTCAAATGCCATCTTCATTCTGTGTGGCCCCTGACAGCTGCATCAGGCCATACTCCCCCACCCACACCGATGGCTTCCCCACTCTCCTTAGACCTTGAGACGTCCCCTGGGACAAGAAGCCTTTTTCACCTGAGTGGTGGCGGAACATACCTTTGGTCCCTAACTCAGGAAGCAGAGGCCAGCCTGGTTTACAGAGTCAGTTCCAACACAGCCGGGGCTATGCAGTGAACCCTGTCTCAACTCCTTTCCCCACAAAAAAAGTTTTCTTCATTGTGTTCGAACACTTTTCTTAGGGCTCCAAGTCTCTTTATCAAGCCACAATTTACTCCCAGCTCATCCCACCACACTTGACTCCAAATGCCAGGCAGCCAACCTCCATCAGTGAACTCAGTCTGCTCTAGGCCACAGCAGCTTCCCTACTCCAAAGCCGAGCGGGCAAGTACTTGTTATCCCAATTCATGTCTTTAGGACTAAATAGCTTGATAAGAGAAGACAGAGACAGTTGTGATGTAATCCCAGCACTCAAGAGGCAGAGGCAGGCAGATCTCTGAGTTCAAGGCCAGCCGGTCTACAGAGTTCCAAGGCAGCCAGAGCTACACAGAGAAATGCTGTCATGAAAAACTGAGAGAACACAAAAGTGGGGAATTTAGTTTTTGTTTTGTTTCTTTTGTATTTGGAGACAGGATTTCTCTGTTTAGTCCTGGCTGACCTGGAACTCAACTCTGTAGACCAAGCTGGCCTCATACTTACAGAGATCCTCCTGCCTCTGCCTCCCAAATGCCCAGCTCAAATTTTAGGGTTTCTTTTGTTTTGATTTTGGTTTTTTTCAAGACAGGGTTTCTATGTAACAACTCTTGCTGTCCTGTTAAATTTTAGGGGTTTCTGAGTTTTGTTCTGTTTTGGGTTTTTTTTTTGTTTTGTTTTGTTTTTTGAGACAGGATTACTCTGTGTAACAACCTCTGGTGGGCTGTCCTGGACTCACTTTGTAGACCAGGCTGGCCTTGAAGTCAGAGATCTGCCTGACTCTGCCTCCTGAGTGCTGGGATTAAAAGCGTGTGCCTGAATTTTAGTTTTCAATTGTATTTATCAGCAAATGTTTTCCAGACCGTTCAGGATTCAAAAAGTACTAAGTGTACAGTATAAAGTTTGTCCCTTGCCCTGTCTAAGGCTCCTCAGTCTCCAGCTGTTGTGAATGACACAGGTCCCTTCTTTGGTCTATTAGATGGCATTGGCCTCATAAGCAATTGGAGTAGAAATCTTTTGCCTTCAAGTTCACCAATTTCTGCAAGGAGTTAGGTCACTTTAAGCTTTTGGACACTGTCTTAGATTTAACTTTCTTCTTGGCATGACTCAGCAATCTCCTGAGGAGAAAGCTTCAGACTGGTCTGTGGACAGGCCTGTGGAGGAGTATCTTTCTTGCTAAATGATGCAGGAGGCCAAGCCCACTGTGGGAGGGACCATTTCCTGAGCACACAATCGCGGACAATCTGAGAAAGTTAGCTCAGTACCAACCTGTAGGAGCTGGCTAGCACGCAGTGTTTGACCCTAGTTTCTGTTTATGCCCAGGATGGAGAGTTTCCTGGTTAGAGGCAATGTTAATGGACTACAAAGCGGGCCTCCCTTCAAGTTCCTCCCTAATTTCTCAGTGACAGACTGTGAGTGACCTGAAAGTGTAAGCCAAGTAAGCTCCTTTTTCCTCTAAATTGCTCTCATTACAGTGACAGCAATGAAATTAGAACAGACACCAAAGCCAGTATTTCCTACCTAGGAAATAGGTTGTTTGTTATGAGATTTTTATTCTCTATCACAGATGGAAACAATCATACGTGCATTTTATTAGGTAGGTAACCTCCTTGCATTTATGTCTTATATTAGACAATGTACATTTGTACTAAATGGTAAAACACTAATCCTTCAAAGGTGATCCATATGTCTTTTTTTTCATGCTTTCACTACTGTCTTCCCCAAATTTTCTCCTTTCAACATTCCCATGAACGCTGCTGGCATCTTTTCAAATCCTTCAAGGACATATTCACGACACTGGATTTTACCCTGCATCAAAACAACAAATATTATGGGTTGGTTTCATTTTCCAGATGACATTCTCTTCTCATCCTAATGACAAACTTACCAGGTACACTAAGGAGAACTGTGACAGCCTGAGACGTGGGCCCATGGATAACGAGATACATGGACAGAGTGTGACATCATCACACATCACAGCATAATAACAGAAAAGAGGTGCCAGACAGACACGATGACGTAATTCCTAAGCACACTGCACAGACAAGTTTAACTATGCCGTGATCTCAGAAGAGATGAATGAAGAAACGCACACCCTCAACAGATTCTCGCCATATCTAGTAGCCAAATGATAGGAAACACTACACCGGAAGTAGGCTCCAAAGAGGTGCAGCCTGTTCAGGAAACGGACATAGCACGGAGCTCCACACCTGGTTCTTCTACGTGTTGCCAGTTACTTGGGAGCGTGGGAGAGAAGGGTTCATATCAGGGAAGATTTTTCATGAACTTGACATATTCAAGGATGTTTGGTTTTACTGAGACATAGTGTAGCTATTACAATCCAGGTTGGCCTAGAACTCTTGGTACTTTCATCTCCTTAGATTACAGGCATCTACCACTGAACCCAGATTTAGAGTTTTTGTTTTAAAGGGGTTTTATGTAGAAACCCAAGCTACCTGATAACTTTTTCACAATACATTCTGGTGATGGCTGAATACTCTTTATAGACTCATGGCCACACCACGTGTTTGAGGACACTCAAAAAGTATGAAAAATGGAATTTGAATCTTTGACTTGAAAGCCCTAGCTCATTCCTACCTCTAAAAGAATAGAGATCTGCATAAGATAGAAAGCTATCTTATGTAATGATTAAAAACACAGAGTGAACATTGTTGTGGACTGAACTGTGTCCTACTCAACACCCAAATTCCTTTGCTGAAGTCCTAAATTCCCCAGTACCTCGGAATCTAGGTATCTTCTAAGACAAGGCCTTTAAAGACATAATTAAAATATAATGGGATTGGGCTGGAGAGATGGCTCAGCGGTTAAGAGCACTGTCTGCTCTTCCAAAGGTCATGAGTTCAATTCCCAGCGACCACATGGTGGCTCACAACCATCTATAATGTAAACTGATTCCCTCTTCTGGTAGATGTAAATGCAGATAGAACACTCATACATAAAATAAATAAAAATCTTAAAATATATATATATATATATATATATATATATATATATATATATATATATATATAATGGGATCACATGAGTACATCGTAGTCAAACAGGACTAGGCCCTTTAGAGAGTAAAACAAACACAAATACAGCCAGAAAAGACCACAAGAAGATACAGGAGAAGCAGCCTTTGAAGAAGCAAGCGTGCTGGCACTCGGGTCTCAGATGAGTCGCCTTCAGAACTTCAAGAAAATAAATTTCTGTTGTTTAAGCCACTCATCCAGTGGATGGTAGCCCTAGAAAATTAATGCAAATACTAGTGGAGATTTTAATAATAGAGAAAATTAAGGTATAAAATGAGGGTATATGGAAGATTCCTGTAGTGTCTTCCCAATTTTTTTGTCAATCTGCAACTGTGATAAAATAAAAAGTGTACTTTTTAAAGAAGCTAGAACTTGTGGGATACAGCTGGGATACAGAGTTAATAAAATGTAACTAATAATAATAATAAAAGAAGCTAGGACTCTCAGTAAGGGAAAATGTTTGCTTAGCATTTGTAAAGCCTTTGGACTCATTCCCAGTTTTGGGCTGGGGAGTAGGCAGCTAGGGCAGGGAACCATGAGGAGGATTAGAGAGAAATACGACAGCTCAATTTCATTTAACAAGGAGACTAAGCAGAGAGGAAACGAGATGGACCACTCTAACAAGCACTCTGCATAGCCAAGTGATGCCAAGAATCCACCTTAGACTTCCCAGCGAGAGACTAGCCTGGGATACAGAGTTTCACACTGGCTTTATTACTATCTTTAGCCCCAACCCCCAAGCAAGAAATTTAGAGAAGTTTGTTTTGTTTTAAGAGGAGAAAAAAATGTTTGTACTTGAAAACATTGAGCCAACAGGCAAGGAGAGACAATGCAGCAAAAAAGTGAGGAATTGAAAGATTGGGGGTTGTGAGTTGTAGAAGCCTGTGGGAACTGGTGGGCGGCTAGAGTGCCTGGGTCCCCTTACCTCTGAGACCCAATTCATCAAGTCCATCAGAGCCTTCTGGCGGACATCGCCTTGCCAGCGAGTAACAAGGAACCCCTCCATGCGGAGCTGCTGATAGATAACGAACTCTGGGGGTGGGCCTGGAAAAGGAGAGCGAGTTGTAGGACACAGCCCAGGGACATGTCCAACGTGGAAAACAAGTAAATCACTGTCTGGTTCTCTAAGCACACCCGCACACTCCCGTTCTGTTTCCTCCACTCCCTTCCGATCCACAAGGCTGCTGTCTACCACTGTTAACTGTGTGGTGGGGAGAGTAATGTTCCCAAAGACATCCACTGCCCCAAACCCGGAGCTCGTGAGTATATTACATTCTGTGAATAAAAGAGAACAGTGAGGGAAAAGGCTGCACCGGTTGCTGGCAGCCAGCATCTGAGAGCATGGTGCATGACAGAGGCTCCCACTCCCCAAGAGTCAGCTGAAGATGCTAATGGAAGAGTCGAAGAGCCGAAACGACACGTCCATGGCATCTTGAGTTACTGGTGTCACTCAAAACTCAAGTCCACTCACTACTTTTAAGAAATTACCATTCATAGTAAGGAACCAACAGAAACTGGCACACGATGAGTGACAGACGTAAATGCCCCAGAATGAATGCATGAAGTCACGAGGAAGTCCACACTCAGGCCACTTCTTCAGCACGGGGCTTCTTCCAAGGTCAGAGCAACCTTATTTCCTTTGGAGTTAAAGGTTCAGCCTGGCTAGGAAGATGTCTAAGTAAAGTGCTTGCCATGAGGCATGAGGACACGAGTTCAGATCCCCAGCACCCATGTAAAAGCCAAGTACGGTGATTTGAATCTATAACTCCAGACAGAAGGGTTCCTTGAACTCATTGTCCAGCTATCTAGATGAATTGATGGGTTCCAGCTTCAGAGAGAGACAATTAAAAAAAAGATGGAGAGCAATCGGGAGGATCCCCTAGGTTGACCTCTGACCTCCATACATACCCATACCTGACACACATCACACAATACACAGACACACAAAGGTTGAAACTTCCATTTCCTCATCTTAGAAGAGGTTGAAATACTTTTACTGAGCTATCCATCCTGACAGGAATGTTGATTTCATTTTTGAGTGCAACAAAGCAAATGTGGCTACAAATTGGTAGAAATAATGATTTGTCTGAAAGCTCTATTGAAACTGAAATGTGCTAGAATTTCTGAGCCTCAGAAGCAAGGCAGCCTGGCATCTGATTGAAATAAATAAGGTCAGCTGCCATCTCTAAGATCTGTCTGAATAACTAAAATTCCAAAGATTAATTGCTAAAATAACTAGATAAAATTACTATGCCCAGAAATATTAAGTTGTACTTATTTGGAATATGGTTAAGAAAACGTACCCCAGAGTTCTCTTTGGCAGGCACATGGATCCCCATGATCCCACCTCAGCATCAACTACAAAAGAAGATGGGTGAGGGGCTGGTCCCTATGGATGAGCTTGCCAAGTAAACGTGCAATTTCCTCCCTGGAGAAGGTCGCGCTTTGATTTTCCATAACTCAAGAGGAAATCTGTATTTCAGCCCTTCCTCAGCCCTGTCTGCTCAAGCACCCATCTCCAGGCAGTTCTGTGATTAATCTATGCTACGAGATTTTATTCACACTAGTCAAGGCCAGAACACAAGTAACTAGTTGTTCTGTGGTCATCCAAATCCTGATATAAACACAAAGATTCCTTTTTCTTCGCTTTTCTCCTTGGTGACCTCAAATAAGCCTGTCATCCTGAGAAAAGAGCAAGGGCCTATGTGAGGAGTCAGTGCATAGGTTTTGTTTTATGTCAGTCATTCATCCTGTCAGAGGCTCACACAAGATCCCTCCGAGACCAGAAGCAAGGAGTGCAGGACTCTCGGGTCATACTGCTTTTGGACTTCCAGCAGTGTAAAGGAGAAGGAGGGAGTGATTTCAGGACAGGAGAGTGAAGAAGAGAGAGATGAAGAGTGCAAGAGAAATAAAAGGACAATCAAGGAGTGTGTGGAGCAGGAGGGCGGGAGCAGCCGTGCCTCTTTCTCATTTAGAGAAAACTGTCAGATGTCTTGATGCTCGAGGAAGCACGGTCCCCATCTGTGAAGACACAACAGCCAGCCCGTCCCTTCCTGTATCTGTGACTCTTCCGTCTGTCCGGCCCTCCTACATGTGCAGGAGCACAATACCTTGAGGACGTGGACCAGTGCGGTTGTACTGAGAGATAGCCCCACAGATGGCAATTCTTCCTAATGTCTTCATCTGGGCTATAACAGTATTTGAAAACTCTCCACCCACCTAAGCAGAAAACCAGAAACAAAAACAAAGCACTTTAAATGCTTTTAAGAATCCATCTAGAAGAAGCAACAAATTTGATTGAGTCGGTACAACAGTTGTAATGATTACAGCTAAAATACATCAGAAATGGGCATTTCCAGGAGGATCAGAACTTTAAGGTTGTTCTCAGTTATACAGTGAGCCTGAGGCCAGCCTGGATTACATGAGATAGTTTGTAAAAAAAAAAAAAAAAAAAAGGGGGACATTTTCATTTGACCTCAGGAACATACGTTATAAAGCATAAAGTTAATATGTTAAATATTCGAATCTTGTGCATAGCCCAGTAGTCTCATTGCCCTATAATCTAAAGATATGTAAAAATACACAAAAGGAATTTGAGGAACAAAGCTATGGGACTCACACTTCAAATTTCAAAATATAACGCAAAACTCAATTCAGGCAACATGAAAATAGAAACACAGGTCAGTGCAACCAAACCGGGGCCATTACATTTACCATCAGTTGGTTTTCCACATGAATGAATGCCAAGACAAGGTCATGGGTGGAAAGGCCTTAACAGCTACTGCAGAACTGCAAATCTACCGAGAAAATATCAAAAGTGGCTCTCTTCCACTTCACACACAGTGTGTATGTAATGCAGATAAGATCAGAACTAACACCTTAAACTCTTAGTAGAAGCAAAGAAGGAAGTATCAGTGGCCTGAGAAGGCAACTTCTTAGACAGCACAGCACATGCCCAGCCAGCCACAGAGCTAATTGAAACCCTGTGTTTCTGAGGATACTATCCAGAGAATAAAGCTGGCTCGTGGAGCTGGAGAAAACTCCTGGAAACCACGTTCAGTCAGTATTCATTCTCACAGGATTCCATGTTTGTGAACTGTATTACTTGCTAAGATTCATTTGTGCCTTCAAAGTGGGACCCAGGTTACTTGCAGACATAGGTGTTCCCAGCAGAGACTGAAAAGGCGAGGTGATGCTCTGCCTTCCTGTAATACAGTGGCGACCTAAGGATGGGGACGGTGGAGCCCTGTCTCTGAGCAGCATTGTGAGTGCTGGGATTATAGACATAGTTACCACGTCTGGCTTTGCAGTTTAAATGAATCCCATGGTCTGTGCATTATATCTTAACAGATCTTTCTCCCCCTAGAGAGTATACTTTTTTCCTGCATTCTAGCTGAAATTTTAGAAACATGTTCCTTTACATAAAACATCATTGGCAAGTCAGATAAATTCAGTTTGTACTTACATTATCAAAATAGCAATCATAACCATCAGGAGAGGCTGCTCTCAAAGCTTCTTCCAATGACTCTACTGTCTTGTAGTTAAAGGCAACATCAAATCCAATCTTCTTAAGATAGGCAACCTTTTCATCAGACCCTGCTGCTCCAACAACTTTGCAGCCCTAGATGGGGAAAAAATGCAGACCATTATCAGACAGGAGCACAGCCCCATTCTGCTGTCCCAGTCCTACACAATCAGGTGCTCAAGATCACACCTTGTTGTAATCACTTTCCACATTATGACAAACCACCTGAGAAAACAAGTTGAAGAAGGAAAGATACATTTTGGCTCACAGTTTCAGACGCTCTATTTTGTAGTTACTTGGCGCCATATTTCTGGACTCAATATTATGTTTATCGCAGCAGAAGGGCATGGCTTTAAGAAAGCCACTCAACCATGGCAGCAAGGAGAAAGAGAAAAGACAAATACAGATACGAAGAATTGAGAACAACCTTCAAAGACACAATTCCAGTGACCTGATTCCTCCAGCTAAGCTCTTGCTTTCTAGCTTGTCCCATCTACCAACAATGCCATCAAACCATGAATCTGGTTTGATTAATCCACTGATGAGGTCAGACACCCCACCTTAACCCAATCACTTCACATAAGTCCCACTTTTGAAATGAGACCAAGCTTTCAACACATGGGAACAAACTTCCTAACCAAACCACAGAATACTCCATACACAAGGAAATCCATAGTAACTCAACAGATCCTAAGGGTGAAACTGGTCCCTAAACCAGTCTAGAGCCCAGCTACAGCTGGCCTGACCATTTAGCAGATTCCATGCATGTCTATTTTGTTCGCAGTTCATTTCAACCTGCTGCTCTAATAACCTAGTCATTTGACTTCCTGAGTTTTTCACTCTGGAGCACCCTGCTTCCTCCAATGACATGTATCCTATCCCAGTGCAGTGGTCTTTGTTGTTGCTGTGCGTTAGTTTTAGGTGTGTGTGTGTGTGTGTGTGTGTGTGTGTGTGTGTGTGTCCATGTCCAGATGCTCAGGAAGGCCAGAAGAGAGCATCAGATCCTCTAGAACTGGATATACAGGTAGTTGTGAGCCACAATGTAGGTGCTGAGAACTGAACTTGGAGGAGCAAATGTTCTAAACTCTGAGCCGTCTCCAGCACGGTGAGTGCTTCTTTGGAACATCGTTTGCACACCCCAACTATTTTTAAAATGTTATATTTATTATTAATCATGACGTGTGAGCATGGGCGTGTGCGTACAACAACACGCAGACGGAACCAGGACACACTCTGTGGAGGTGGTCCTCCCATCTTCCTGCGCCTCTACAGCCGTTCCAGAGGACACACTCTGTGGAGGTGGTCCTCCCATCTTTCTGCGCCTCTGCAGCAGTTCTGGAGGACACACTCTATGGAGGTGGCCCTCCCATCTTCCTGCGCCTTTACAGCAGTTCCGGAGGACACACTCTGTGGAGGTGGCCCTCCTATCTTCCTGCGCCTTTACAGCAGTTCCAGAGACTGAACTCAGCCCACCAGGTCGGTACAACCTCTTTGCCCACAGAGTCATCTCTCCACTCCCAATCTTTTCTATAAAATATTTGCAATTTAAATATTGGAAATATTTCTAATTCATTGTATAAATCTAGCCTATGCTGAATTGAGAAGAAACAAAACAAAACCTTCAAATCAGGCTCACATGTAAAGACAGAGGCAAAATTCTCTCTCAGTGTTATCAAATCAGGGACTGGGGTGTAGCACAGTGGTAGGTGCTGAGTTGCATTACCAGCCTTACCCCAAACGATACTACGTCAATTCCAAAGGTATAAACTGTTCTTGGAATGCTAGAATGGCACTGGAAAACAAACGCAACTGGTTGGCTGGAAAGCTAGCATGACAAAAGCTGAAACAGTATTTATAAAATTTAGCTTCTTTTCGCAGGTATGCATTTACATACCTAAATATTTTCTAAAACCTCATTTGTGTTCAAGCTCCTCTTAGTAATAAGGACCAGCTCTTGGCTATTAGATGTAGCCCAACATTCAACTCTACTCTGCTTACGTTCTCCTATAAGAACATGTCCTAAGTCCTACCCAGAAGCCTTTGGCAAAGCTAAGTCACCTGAGAACATCTCCACAATGAGAAATGAAATCCTGACCAGGTCTGAGCTGCCGGCTCTCCTGTACCCCCACCATCTGACTGCATGCCTTCAGCAGAGACCTGCCCACATCAGAACCTACACTCTGCATACACTTCTATTCAGGAGCCAGTTCCCAAACAATGGCCCATCACCTGACGCTGATTGCTCATCTCTTCCTGGTGCCGCAGCCTTTGCCATGAAGCCATGTGAGTGAGGACTCCTGGTCTGGCTGACCTGAAGTCCCATCATGAAGGAAGGCAATTAAGCTGAGCAAAAGAATTCTTAGTAAAAATACTACTGATAATAATAATAATAATAATAATAATAATAATAATAATAATAATAATAGAAAACTAGTGCTAAGTCTCAGTAGTCTCGGTGGGTGCATTCCTGACTCGGTATATGCAGTGTTGTCAATCAACCCTCATCTTTACTATCGTCTTTTCTTCCTTCTCCCTTTTCTCAACCTCTGACTTCTAAACAAGTCGCAGCCAGTTGATTGTTGGCCCTTCAGTCCCAGAAAGCCCTCTGCAGTCACTGCTGTGCTCTCACTGCACACTGGGGGGGGCCTGCAGGTGTGAAACGCAAGGAAGACACTTACCTTGAGTTTAGCTATCTGTCCCACGACAGAGCCCACTGCTCCTGCTGCTGCGTTGACCATGACCGTGTCGCCATTCTTCATGCCACAGATGTCAAGCAGGCCAAAGTAGGCAGTGAGGCTAAGGAAAGACCATAAGGATGTAAACAGCTCTCACTCTCTCTTTCTCCTCTCCTCCTCCTTTGCCATGTAGCACAATCTTTTAACTTGCAATCTTCCTACCATTTCACAAGTGCTAAGAAAACATATGTTACATACCAAGACAATTTCACACACACACACAAAAACACACACACACATACACACATGCTAGCCTTCAACTCATTATCTCCCTGCCCTAACTTCTGAGTAGCTGAAATTATAGAAGAGCTTGGATTTCAATGTCTCTTGTGTGTTACAAAATGATTTCCCATGTTGGCAACACTAGAAGATGGTGGGGCCTTTAACAAGTGGGGCATCTCTGACCTAACTTTGCCCCTCTTTCACTCAGCCTCAAGAATAATTTTAGATTACCTTTAACTGACTAGTAAAAACTGCATAAATAGATATATAAAAATATGTATGTATAGTACAGAAAATGCTTTACATATACATATATAGGAGAATAGCTAACTTGAGCTAATTCACACAGTAATCATTTCTGTGGTCAGAACACTTCAAATCTATCTTTCAGTAATTTTCACCCTAACTTATCGTTCCAAACTATGCTCACCCGCTCATCAGCTTACCCTGCTGTACCATAGATCTCTTAAACTTACATCTTCTTTCTAAGTAAATTTTGTATCTTTGGACCAACATATCTCTGAGCCCCCGTCATTATACCCTTAGCTTCTATGGCATCCACTTCCGCTACAGTTTACACTCATGTTATAGTTTGGAGATAAGCTGATCTCCCCTCCTACCTGAGATTCATGTATTGAAGGCTTGGCTTCCAAAGCAGTACTATTAAGAGATGTGGTATTGGGAAATTATTAAATCAAGAGGGCTCTGATGTGATCAACGCATTAATTCCATGATGGATTCATAAGATGATAGCATGAGGAGGTGGGAACTAGTTGGAGGAAGTAGATCCCTGTGGGGAATGCCCTAGAAAGACGCATCTCATCCGTGGTTCCTTACTGTATTTCTCTTCCTCTTGGATGACATAAGATAGGAAACTCTGCCCCATCATTCCCCAGGCACCATGATCACCCAGGTGTCATCACAACAGTGCTAACGAACTGAAGCCTCTGAAACCATGACCCAGAAGAAACCCTTCCTCCATTAAAATTGCTGTTCTCAGGTCTTTCTCACAGAAATAAGCTCACATAAGATGAAAATGAGAACAAATGGTATTTGCCTTTCTCTAGGTTCACCTACGTTATCATAACTTCCAAAATTTCCTTCTTTTAAAGGCTACACAGTATCCTTTTTTATATAACATATTTTCTTCATCCACTAAGACTTTCCTTCCTTTCTTATTTCTACCATTTTTCTCTAATCGGTCTTTTTGTCCTACATCTCTTTTTGCTGATTAAGTTATAATGTTAGACATTCTGACAAACAAGACACACCCATGACACTTACCCTGTCATGCCAACTGTCCCCAAAGCCAGAGACAGTGGTAACTTGTCTGGCCACCCCTCAGGCAGCTTTCTCAGTCCATTCCCATCCGAAATGGAATGTGATGCCCAGCCTAACAAAGCCAATACAATGGTTCCTTCCGGGAAGGCCGAGTTCTTACTTTCCACAACTCTGAAAGATAAACGTACAATAAAAAATATCTTTTCCCTTTCCTGGGAGTCAGGAGTCTGTGTGAGGAATGTTCACAAGAAGGCACCAAGGTAAACAGCCCATGACTGATACCCTGGGGAATCTCCCCTTAGCCATGTGGAAGCCATCAGAGAGGAACATTCTCAACTGGTCCCGCATTCATCCCTGTCCCTGCCCACATCCCTTCTTTTTAGCAAGTGTCATCTATCCTGTACCTCCAGGGGCCTACTCCTCCATCCTCTGCAAACACAAGTATCTGTTCATTTGATTAGCAAGAAACATAAAACTTTACAGAGAGAAAGCCTGCTGATGGGTAAGACAGTCTGCCAGGTGGGGAAAGACAACCAGCTCTGAAGGAGAAAGATGACTGTAACATAAAAACTGACTGATAATTTTTAATTAAAGATATAAAAGAAAATATCAATATTTTTTCATCATTTTGAAAAATTTCTTCAGCAAATGAGATGAAGCCCAAAAGCCACAATTACAAATGTCCATCATTTTAAGCTATGATTGAATACTAGAGAAAGGCAAAGACCTGAGTATCTGTCATCGTAACACCCCTGGTACAGAAGCAGTCTTTGCAAACCAATAAAGCAGAAGAGAAATCCTACAGTAAAAGTGAAGTGGACTCAAACATAACTCATAAGAAAAAGCTGACAGTTAACTCACAAGAAGACTAACATCACTAATAGCAAAGGCAAAGCAAACTGAACTAAACCAAGGGTCACCCATTCATCTCAGATCACTGTGGAGGGCGGGTAGCAAAACTAACTCCATCTTGAATTAAAAGTTTAGTGAAACCTGCTGCAGTGGCGTGAACTTTCATTATCTTTTGTTTTTGTTATTCTGTAGACCAGGATATATTGCTGACATAGTTACTACGGAAACAAAACTGTTGCTTGAGCACTGGTGCAAGGAACCTGGATTTCGCATGACCTCCTCGTGATGAGGAAGTTGGCTTTGCTGTGTATGTGCTTTTGCTGTATAAAGAAAGCCAGGACAGAACAGACTGGCTTCGGTCCTTACTGAAGTCCTCTAAGCTCTGTCTCACTTTGTCTTTTCTCTTTAATCCTCACCCCCTCTCTCGCAGCACTTTGACGGAGCCGGCTCGGTCAGATTACCAAGACTGATGGCCAACGAGGAGCACAAGGATCAGGCAAACAGGTCTATTGATACTGCTTAAGGGAGCAGACACCCATGACATCTTTTGGAAGAATAATTTATCAACATCTTTTCAAAATAAAGATATGTACCTTGGGGCAGTGAGGCAGCACGGCGGTTAAGCGCTCTCTCTACAAGCTGGGACTCTGGTTTAGTCCCGGATCTCACAGGGGAACTGACCCCTGAAAGCTGCCCTCTGACCTCCAACTGTGCTCCGTGGTACATGAACGCCTGCACCCCACCACCACACACACTAATAATTATAAACAAGTAGCTTAAAATTAAAAACACACATAGAACCTTTGTGTAGAATTTATATTTTGGGAAATATAATGTAAAGCATTTGTGTCTATGTGGCCAAATAACACAGAGAGAGAGAGAGAGAGAGAGAGAGAGAGAGAGAGAGAGAGACAGAGATAGAGACAGAGACAGAGAGATGTAAGCTTCATTAAGAGTCACCAGAAGCAGAAAACTTTGAAAATAGCTGTTATCAGTAATAGGTTCAGTTAAATGGAAGAATGTAATAGATGATATATTTACACGCTGACAGCAAACAGTGTATGATTTACTAAGAAAAGCCGATTTGCTGGCAGGTATATAAAAAAAAGCCATCAACGCCCATACTTAACATATTTTGAAATAATACACTAACAACTGACTCAGAGGGGAATCTTTCCATTTCCAAATTTCAATTTATTTGAATTTTTACAATAATCATGAACTAAATATGCAGGACATTATTTATGTCACTATAAGTAAGGATGGCAGAGAGAGGCTCAAATGACAGCTCTACATCCCATGGATAGTTTATGTCGTCAACTTGCCTGGTTGAGAGCCACCTAGGAGTTGAGTTGGTGCACACCACCAGATCCGTCCTGAGGGGATTCACTAATGTGGGAACTGCCTTAGATGTAGGCAGCATAGGCTGAGGGCTCAGATGGAATAAAAGAGCGGAGATGAAAACCAGATGCCACAGTGTTCTCTTTCTCTCTCCATTCATCCATCTACCTATCTACCTGTCAGTCTGTCTGTCTATCTATCTATCTATCTATCTATCTATCTATCTATCTATCTATCT